TAGGGCCAGACGCATTTTTGAGTACTTTTTCCCCAACTTGCTAATAAATAAATAAAATAGCTTATGAATAATGACGTCATTGTGATTTGGCCCTGAAAGGGTATGTAACAATTAGAAAGTCTACATGTAGCAGGGGACACTAGGACCCAGGCAAAATTTGGCCAGTCAAGGTGAGAGCACCTGAACTGTTGAGCAGCTCATGGAGCACAGGTGTGTGAGCTACGTGCCTGCCTGGGTCCTGACCCTCTATCGGTAGTAGGGGTGGAAAGGCAAAGTGCTGGTTGCTGTTAATTCTACATTGTACTTTATGTTATTCATTTTAAATAGTTTTACCTGTATTCTAAAGTAAATTAAACATATTAATGTATGTTTTTATCTTTCAGTGCTGCAGTTAGTGTTGTCCTCCGGTCACAGGAGCAGCTGCTGCAGTTCACCTGTTGAGTTGAGGTGATATATTTCAAGGTTTGCTGTGTCGCTGTTCGAAGTTTGGATGTTTATCTGTTGGAAAAAAGGCTTTATTTTGTGTGTAATTTTGGTTATTCACGTGTAGACGTGATGACGTGATGATTTGCAAGGACATGTATGAATATGTTATTTCCTTTCACTTTACAGTGCAGCTGACCAGACTGACCAGCGGCTAGGGTGGCAAAATCCCAGTAATATTCTGGGGGGGGGGGGGGGGGGGGGAGGTGGATGGGTCCAACAAACCCCGACTTCCACGCGGCAGCCCCCTGTTCGCCCGCTGTGTAAATGTTTAGCCAGTCACTGTTATTTTTTGATGGTGCATGGCGGCATCGGGGGGAAAAGTAGCTGGACGACATAAGTTAAGGAGGCAGAAGCCTGCATAGGGTGGTTGGGGGGGGGGGGGGATTGGTCCAACAACCACCAACCTTCACCCGGGAGGTCAGTGTTCACTTCCTGTAAGACTGTAAAGCCAGGCCCTGTTCTATTTTCCCAAACCCAATTACCTTCTTTTGTTGCCTAAATCAAAACACGTGTGTATGTTGACTAACTGTAACCACGTGTTTGTTGTTGAAGGAAAAAAATGTCAATTGGAGTTGTTGTACCAACGTAGTGCTTTTATTTTGAAAGAGACTGTATCCAAACTGTACATATCCTGTGAAAACATAAGTGTATTTTGAAAACAGACAATGCATGTAACAGGCTGAAGTTGACACGGCGTCCCAGAACGTCAACAACCAACACACCCAGGGTACCTTGGACGTCATATGTGGACGTGCAAAGTCCATGAGCAAACGTGGACATGTGACGAGGTCACAGTGAGAGTGTGTTGCACTCGGCTTTCTGTGGTCCCAGAAAAGGTTTTTTATTGAATGGCATTTGCTAAGCAAAGCCTATTCGGATAATCCAGATTATCAGGGGAATAATTAGAACGCTTTGTTTGGCGGTAGTTTAGCAAAAGTAGTTGCTTTTGGATTTCCATGAGTCCACGAGTGGGTACAAGATGCTTGGATAATGCTGCTCAGGAATTTTCAGAAACTTTTGCTGTCTTTCCTTCAGCTTCTGTTGAAGTCTGTTTGCACTGATATGCTTTCTTTATTTTGTCATTTTTTCTAGCACCATGGAGCTGAGGGAGGTGAGTACTATTTTTACTGTTTCTGGGTGAACTATTCCTTTAACTTCCCCTGGAAAATTTCCTGGAAACTTCCTGGCCCTACAGCAGGTTTTTTTCCTGCAACAGGTGACAGAGATTGTGAGAAACAAACCGACTGTGACGCCGGCACAGTTTTCACTTTGAATAACAGCTAATGATGTTGGAGGGAAATAATGAGATCCAGTAACACGACAAGATCAGAGTCTCTGCTGTGTGCTCTCAGCGTGTCTCTCAGGCCGCTGCAGCTCAGGATTAGCAGCTGCGCCCGCAGGGCTCGCTGAAAAACAAAACTGTCACAACCTGAGGTGCATGAACTGGAAACAGGCAGGAAGGACGCACACACGGTTTTATCTGCACATAATGAGTCCTGAGTGCACCTGTTTTTATCTTTGTGCAGGTGATGACAGGAAACAGTCGGGTCAAAGTCATGTGACAATTAACAAGAGTCTAAAGCAACGCCAGCAGCTCTGTGAGGCTGTACTGAGACCTTGCAGGGCTTTGAGCTAAAGGCTAACATCAGCATGCTAACATGCTCAGAGTGGCTACGATTACATCCACACTAGTTCCCCTCTAATATAACAGTGTTCTGAATTTGATGCAGGTCATGTAAACAACATATTTCATTATGATTTTCGTAATTAGACCTTTTTCCAAATTTAGCTTTTTCTGATGAAGACATGGGATCAACCCGTTCTCATTCCAAAGTTGTAAAACACCACTGCTTGTTCAGTGGTTTTCTGCGTCAGACAACAATGAGAACAGCCATCCTATCATTGCAGTATGATACACCACTGGGAGGCATCATTTTTTTTAAAGGCGCTGTATGTAAGAATGTGGCCAAAACGGTTACTGCACTCAAATTCAAAATACTGCAGTGAGTCGTGTCCGCTCCCCTCGCCTACAGATTCGAGGTTGCTAGACAGCGCACGCTGGAGACAGATTTGTTTGCCCACGGGCGCCGCGTCGCCGCGTCCTTGATCTTCGGTTTTCCAGCGGACCGTTCGAGCAAGTCCGGCTTCTTGCTGCTAACGCTGCTGCCAGGATACAGCTGAGGAGGCTGCTAATGCTATGTACCGGGACAATGCTAATGCTGCTTGCCGTGCTGCTGTAGCTCAGTCGTAACTGTAACTGATGCTGAGGCTCTACTGACTGCGTGACTGGTAGACGGCGGTGGGTGGCGCAACAGGCCAAAACACAAATTCAAAACATAAACATGATTTGCAGACTGCAAAAATGTTTTTTAAATGCGAATATTCTGGCTGTACTATTGTTGTCTGTGAGATCAGTATGTTATATGAACATTATTCCTTAGTCTCTGTGACATATTAGGAGGATTTTATGACTATTTGCTTTAGATTTCTTACATATAGCTCCTTTAATGCTGCTGGACAGTGACTGACTTGGTCAATCCATGTGAAATTGGCACAGTGGTAGAGGGTCATGGGAGGATGCCAATGAAGCAATATTACATCAATTGGCCAAAGGGGGGCGCTATAGCAACCCATTGAAATGTCAAACTTTGAATGGGCATATCTCATGCCCCGTATGTGGTAGAGACATGAAACTTTGCACAGAGATGCCTCTCCTCATGAGGAACACATTTGCCTCAAGAACCCATAACTTCCGCTTATATAGATTTTCCACCATTTTGAATTTTTTGAAAAACACTTCAAATGGATCTCTTCCTAGGAAGTTTGAGCGATCTGCATGAAACTGGGTGAACATAATCTAGGGACCAATATCTAAAGTTCCCTCTTGGCAAAAGTTGGAAAACTTACTAAAACTGAGCTTCTATAAAGCAATGAATATTGCGGAGGGCGTGGCTCATCACATAAAGGTGTATAACATCTCAAGGGTTTCACCCATCACCACGCAACTTTGTAGGCATATGACCACACATAATCTGAGGGGACCCCTTCATTATTGACCCCATCAAACAAAATGGGGGCGCTAGAGAGCTCATTTCTTATCTAGGCCTAACCGCCATATGGATTTTTACTAAACTTGGTAGATATGTAGAACAGGACGCCTCAAGGTGACTGGAGAAATTTAACTCTAATTGGCAACTGGGTGGCGCTATAACAACAGAAAAATGCTTCAAAATGGCTAAAATGCGACCGATCGCTGTGGCTCCCCCTGTGGACCAATGTTGGTGTTTTCTAATGTTTGGTATGACTAAGTCATGGTATGGTATAGATACAGTCGGCAATGACGGGAACGCCCACAAACGTCACATCTGGTTAGAGCCGAGGGGGAAAACAAACCGGTCTCTGCCATTAGCCACAATGCCAGAACCAGCACTTTTATTTTTACATATACCGTACTCAGTAAAGAACTTTAATTAGTACTTCTACTTTTACCAGACTTTTGTACACAAGTATCTGTACTTTTACTTAGGTACTGAATGTGTACTTTTGTACGTGTTGTGAGGAAATCTACACAAATTACAAATGTAGTACAAAGTTCACTAGCGTTTAAACAATTAATCTAATATTCCTGATACCCCTGACATAGTCTACGATTGTTTGGAAATGGTTAACATTACATTAAACTTACCTGAAATGAAGTGCTGACTGCAGACATACACATGTTTTGTTGTTGGGTCCCATAATCTGCCAAACTCGTCCTCTCTTCTGATAGCTTGAAGCCATTTGTCCTCCTTTGTGGTTCCGTTTTATTATTTGGTAAAATGTAAAACTTTAATTGGTGATTTTTTTTGTTTATTTGCGGTGCAAAAGGGCACACAGCAACTCTTCGGCATTGTGGCTAATGGCAGAGACCGGTTTGTTTTCCCCCTCGGCTCTAACCGGATGTGACATTTTTGGGCGTTCCCGTCATTGCCGACTGTATCTATGCTGTACATAATCACGGAAACTGTCAGTGTGTCATTCTGTCAGTCAGTCATTCTGTCTGTCCCACGTTTTTCTACTCACTGACGTGGTCAATCTATGTGAAAATGCACATAGGCACTGAGGACTGGCATAGGTAGAAGCTGACAAAGCTACCAGTGGCTATGGACTAGTTATATATATATTTTTTTAAAACATACCTTTGGCAGCAAAGTATAGTACATGTAAGAGTAACATGATAACATAGACTGCGACAGAATAATGTAATATGATTACATAAATATACTTAGTGTGTGTTAATATAAGTCATCACATCCTCACTGTGACCTTGTCACATGTCCACGTTTCAAAATTCAAAAAAATCTAAATTACGTGATTATGTTTAGGAAAAAAGAATAATAGGCTTTACAGTCACACAGAAAGCAAACACCGGCCTCCCAGATAAAGGCGGCGGTTGTTGGACCCACCCGCCACACTCGGACTTTCACTGCCTTAATTGTCGCCACTCGGCGCCATTAAACAATAACAGCAACCGGCAATGTGTCATGCCAACATGAAAGGATGGCTTTTATCATCACTGTCTAACGCCAGAAGTCATTGACCGACTTTTCGGCTCAGAGTGAGACAGGGTTGTTTAAAGATATGATACATTAATCAGTCAGTTTTATTTTAACTGTAGTATCACCATGCAGCACGCTCCCAGAACGCTTTACAATTAAAATGAATAAATGAAACAAACCTAACAATAAAACAACCACATCAAAAACACTAATAACATACAAGATAAAGTTATATAACAGTATGACATATTAAATATATTACAGAAACCTTTTTACAACAATCAGCACTTTTACTGTAAGTACTTTAAAAACTTAAAGTAAGGTTGCAAATGCAGAACTTTCACAGGGTGGTATTAGTACTTTTACTGCAGTAAAGGATCTGAGTACTTCTTCCTCCACTGTCTGTATGAATGCAGTTACCTACTTGGCGTGTCTGTTGATGCATACAGTAACACGATGACCTCTGACCTGAAAGCACGATGAGAATCTGAAACATTCCTCTTCAGGCAGGTTAAATCTGAGTCGGTGTCTCCTCTGACGCTCAGCAGGTGACAGAAGTGTTCAGGTAACATTCCTGTCACATTCCAGCCTGTCGAGTCTGAGATGCGTCACACTGCAGGCGTGTCTGATCCACCGCAGGATAACTGACGGAGAGCGTGTCACCTGCTGTTTGGATTCAGATTTTAATTTGGTTCAGAGACAGACTTTGACTGTAGCTTCAGACTGAGTCTGACTTCTGATAGACGTCAAAATTCAACCTAAAAAAACTATTGAACAAATGCTTCAAACCACTGAGCTCTGTTCATTCCAGCAGAAAACTGAACCGATGGTTATCATGGAAACACTGATCAGCATCGTGTGTGTGTCTGATTGTTACAATGGAAACACTAACACACAGTAATCTCAACACAAAGTCCATTTAGCAGCTACTCTAGAGCTGTCGATCGTATCACATGATCTTCCTCAGCTGATGTCGTGCGCTTGGTTGTCGTAGAATTGTGGATGTTCAAATTTCAAGTTTGATAAAACATAAATTTGTACCTCTATAATCTAACACGTCAACTGAGCATGCTCAGTCTGCTGGAGAAGATCATGTGACACAATCAAAAGCTCCAACCACTAAATAACTTTCCAAGGTCAGTAAATAAACTTCCAGTTTCAACATTAATCAAACTGTTTTCACTCTTTAGTGTTTGAATGATAATAATCAATCATTTATTTGTCACATGGAGTCATACAACGTACAACCTCAGTGAAGTGTGATCCCATCAGCTCCTCTAACTTCTCTTTTTACACCTTCTTACATTGCCGGCTGCTGTTTCATAGCTGTCCATGGTTGTGGAATGATTTAACTGTTCACACATCCCGACTTTAACCGAACAGCCACATGGTTGCTCCTCCCAAACATAGGCAGTGAACACTCTGCAGCCGCCTCTGAACAGTGTAGTGATCCACAGCAGGAACAGGACAGCAGCTCACATTCCCACTGTCACACCAGTCCTTATTCACCATAAAGCACACTCCTCCTCTCCTTCTCTCCCACAGTCATCTGCTCTGTTAGATCAGCAGATAGAAAAAGAGCCACGTGGTTGAATGGCGCTGTCCAGGATTTAGCCAAGTTTCCATGAATCAAAGGAAGTTACAGTTTCTGATATGCTGTTGGAAACTGATGCAGCACTGATGCAGTCGTCCAGTTTGTTTCCAACACCTGTACAATGTCCAGCAGGATGCTAGTTTGATTTGATTTGATTTGATTTGATTTGATTTGATTTGATTTGATTTGATTTGATTTCGCTTTATTGGCAGATGAAATTCTGAAATTTGTCTTGTGTCCCAGGATGTTAAATGTTTCACATAAATACACATGAATACGAAAATACAAAACAACATCTAACCAAACAACAAAATCATACAACAAATGCTACAAATCACAGCTGACGTTATGAAAAGTGGCTGCAGTGCAACATATTACTCATTCAGTACATGCAGTGTTCATCTGGTGTTCATTCTTCTCCATCTTTCCCCAATGTTTACTGAGGTTAACATTTCAAAACCTCGACCTGGCTGGCTAGCAGAAGTCGACAGAAGGAGAGTTCGCAGACTGGTGAGTTGTTGTCCTCATCCTGACTGAGACCGCTGCTGACCTCACCAGGAAAAAAATATCAGCACCATCTAGTGGACCGAACAAGCAACTGATTTTATTACTCTAGCACCAAAGGGTGTATTAAAATGTGTATTTGCACAAATTGATAACGAATATAATGCAATGTATCGATACAATATCGCCACGCAAAATATTGGGATTTTATGCTGTATGGGTTTTTTCCTCCACCCCCTTTATTATATTATATATTGGAATTACTTTATCCCGTGTAAAGTGTGTGAAAGGTTTTCACACCTTCTCCCCCAGCTTTTGTCACCCAGTCAGTCATCAAAGCCAGTCTGTAGAGAAACTGGTGACAGGTGACATCAAACACGGGGACCTGACCCAACAGCTCAGGCTTTACTAAACTGACGCCTTCCGCCACTTTTCTTCTAACAAAGTGAAATTAAGTCGGATTAAAGAGTTTATTAAGCCACATGACCCCGGAGGATAATCCCTTGAAAGTGACCCAAACATTCTTTTCCAGGCCAAATGAAACCAATCTTATCATCAGTGAGTCCACACACACACACACACTCCTCCCTTACAAAACACTCTACTAAACCGGTCCTACAGTCTGACAGCAGACAGTTTTTTTCTCTTCCTCTCCGGTGTGTAGTTGTGACTTTGAGACACATTTGCTCCATCTGATATCTAACCATGTTTCTCACGCAAAGAACACCACAGGGTCTATAAGAGCCACCAGAAACCAGGTCTACGGCGCAGACGGATCCAGCAGACACACAGCATGGGTAAGACTCCACTCATTTACTGTTTTCACTTCCTGTAAATCTCTTTCTCTGCTGCTGCTGCTGCTGCTGCTCTGACACTCCACTCTCTCAGGACAAACCAAACTCTGGGCAAATTTTGTTTGATTCTTCTTTGGATACTTCACAGAGTTTTTACACAAAGAGCACACATGTAGATTTTGTGGATCTTAGTTTAACAGTTTCCCTATGTTTCTACAGTGTAGTTTCAATCTGTGACACACACTCAGGACTGCAAAAACTACACACACCACTGGTTTGATCATTAGTGTGGGAGCAATTTATCATTTCAAATAACTGTTTTAAATCAATTATAATACATACTTTAAATCCTGTTTCTCTGCTGCTGCTCTGACACTCAGCTCTCTCTAGACAAACCAAGCCACCATTTTTGGAGCAAACAGCAAAAATGTAGATTTTTCTGTGGATTTAAGAATAGAGCTTTCTTTATTGTTTTTAAATGTCAGTCTGTATTTCACCCTCAGGACACACGTTGGTTTGATCATTAGCCTGAGGACAAGGAACAGATGATAAAATTTTGGTGGTGATTAGTTGTAGCGAAGTTGATAAAATAATAAAATGGCGGGAAATCCGAGTTGCTTGGTGGAGGTCTGTGCTCTCCGAGTGCTTTTCTAGTTGTTTATGTGTTTATTTAGAAATATAATACAGTATATAATGTAATTAAAAAGTATAACATATTAACATAATGTAGTAAAAGTGTTGGAAGTCAGATCCTGTACCTAAAGCCGGGGTAGGCAGACATCTGAAAAAGTCCAAATTTGAAAATCTCCCCTCCTCTTGCAGCTCACTCCTCTCCGTCTTAAGCCCCTCCCACCAGACTAACATGTGCTAATGCATGCGCTTTAAACAATAACTCAGTGTTTCCCCATGCACTCATTTATTTCATCTTACTTGATTCACTCAGCCTTTCTCTCTCTATCTGTTTATCAGATCACAAATGAGATAAGAACTTGCTGCTAGCCACCGCGCGGTCCCTCCGCCTTGCTCCACGCTGCTGTGGTATGCTGCCCCGGGAGGAGAGCGAGGCAGCAACCTCCGGTCGGTGGCTTTAGCAGCTCAAAGTCAGCCAGCACAAATCCCCCAGCATCAGCTGGTGGTCAGCTGCAGCGCTGGGTCTAATCTGTGTAACAACAGCAACAGAGAGTTTGCTGATCTGGTGTGGATTCTGGGCTGTCTGGTCCCTCGGAGCTGGAGTTTGTGCTGGCTGGCATCAATTTTCTGTGGCTGCTGACTGGCGTTCAGTGCTGCCTGCTCCCCTCTCAGTGAGGTGGTCTGCAGTGGTGGGGAATGAGGCAGAGGACACACTGTGATTCGAGGCTCTAGCTAATGTTAGCTACATAAACATGAAGCAGCAGCTGTGAGCTTTTGGCTCCAATTAGCAAAAAGGCTAAATTATTAGCAACTCCGTCTCCATCTCTGAAACACTTTCCTGATTTAGCAAATGTGAACCTCACTGCTGTGTTAAATGTTTCAGATGGAAAATCCATCTTGTGAGAATCACACTGTGTTATTGTGTCGCTACGGAGGTTTAGCAACGATATTTAGACGATATTAAATGAATTACGATAAAAACATCGACCATATGACCCAACAACCAAAGACCCCGCTGCACTACCTCCACTTACAAACCCAGATACTGTAACTACGTGGATTTTGGACTGAGTGCATGAGTGATGGACACCGGGCGCGACCACATATGCTCTTTCCTAATTGGAAACAATTGAAAAAAAGATTCTGAGAAAAACACGTCATGTGGACACAGGCCCTGATGCAACATAACAGCAAATTTATTTTGTCCAGCTGACAACAAATGTGGCTTTAATATGCGTCAGCATGTGACAACATTTTGTTCACCATCAAGCGCGTTTTCTTTATTTTCTCCCTGCACTCCGTCACTCCCTTCATGTGCGCCACCAAACTGAAATTATGTTTGAATAGAGTTTGGATCTGATATGTTTGAAACACCGGGCAAGTGGGACAGGAAGGAATAAAAAATTTCGGTGTCCTTCAAGAGTCGTGGCGACATTTTGAAATTTTGTTGGAACCCTGGAAGAACAATAAAGTAGCAGAAAGTCGAAATACTCAAATAAAGTACAAGTATGTCAAAATTGTACCTAAATAGCATTTGAGTAAATGTACTTAGTAACCGCTGAGCACAATCAGCCCATTCTCAATCTGAAGTTGTCAAATACCACTGCTGTGTCAGTGATTTCAGACACCTGATGCCAAAAGACACCTTGCGCGGCGGTGTGATACACTGCCGGGCAGTGTCAGTTTGTAACATGGCGGGATAACACCTCTTGTGCCAGTATGATACACTGAACGTCATCAGGTCGAAACGCTGCCGCCGGTACAACATAATATAAGGAGCTGGAAAACTAGCAGTGCCATGCACAGACATTTTGGGGGACTGGTGCTCATGCAGAAAAAAAAAACCAAAGGGCACCCCTCTCATAAATATATATTTTTTTTTTTAAAGTCACAGACAGCAGCTCGTCTTTTACAGATATTTATTTTTTTTTATATTAGTAGCTACTGTTCCAGTCATGCAGACAAGAGCATCAGTCTGTCTGGACATCAGTAGGGATGCATATCAGCAGGACGTCTGAGGTCTTTGAGCATCCAACACTTAATTTCCTGCATTAATGGGACCTTTTCTGCATCAGTCTATGGTGGAAATGTCTTAACGCTGCTCTGGCCAAACTTAAAATATAAAATTAGACAAAGATATTAAATAAAAATATTTTTTTTTAAAAAGGGGTGGATGGGTCCAACGAGCCCCAGACTTTCGCCGGAGAGCCCGCTGTTTGCTTTTCCGTATGAATGCAGAGCCTGCTCTTGTTGCTGTTCTGTGTTGGTAGCGGGGTCCCTGAATGTCAAGGACACCTAGCACATAATATGTGAATGTGAAAAGCCACTGACAAAGCGATGATATTTGATGAGTTGGGATGAGGTCTTGTTGGTGTAATGTAGTACGGGATTAAAAATATAAGGCGACATGAGGTAATATAGCAGTATATACTGTACTTACAACATAATATCTACAGTGCAGCACCACAGAATATGAAACAGAGAACAGTATGAGTACAGCACAACATGCAGCTGACAGAATGACCTCACTGCGTCATCACCCACGTTATTATGCATTATAACGTCACAATAATAAACAACAACAATAACGTGCCGCTGACGCCCAGCGAGTCGCTTTGTAAAACACGTTTCACAGCTCCTTAAATGTCATCATGTGATACTCCACAGAGAGACTGTGTTGTTCCTGCTGCTGTATTATCTGCCTGCACGGTCAAAGATCACAGCACCGCTTGTGTTACAGTAACACCGGCTCTCCGGAAGCTTCTCTGGAGACAACAACAACAAAAGGAGGACATGTATTGTTGTTTGTTCTGGTAGAAAATGACAAACAGATTTTACAGAAATTCATTTCAGGCTTTGTTTCTGCACAAAAACATGAGGCTCTCTGTATAAGTTGTAACACATGACTCTGTGAGTAGGTAGTAAATCATTAACTGAAGTGGTCAGATTAATCATAAACTCTTTATGATCAAAAGTCTTCATGTTTCAGTGATGAATCTTTGTGTCTGCAGCAACATTAACTCAGTAACAATTTAAGGTTCAGAGTTTATTGTCTTTCTCTTTGTGTAAGTGTTTCATACACACTGTACGATGAAAAAAAAGTTTAGTTCAGTTCATTCATCATTTCATTACAATCCAGTGTTCTGCTTGGGCACCGTGGGTCCTGGCATTCATGCGGTTGCCACCCGACACGCTCCACCCACCCAAACCTCATTGCAGACAAAGTGCCCCCCTCATAGCAACGACATTCCTCAAAGGCAGTGGCCTCCCCAGTAGGACAATGCACAATGCCACACCTTAAACACAACTCAGGAGTGGCCAAGGAAACGTGACAAAGAGCTCCAGGCGTCCAACTGGCCTCCAAATTCCCCAGATCTGGTAATCATGGGACGTGCCGGTACCCCACTTCACAACCTGTAGGACTCAAAGGATCCACCGCCAACGCCCTGATGTCAGACAGCACAGGGCACTAAAGGTTTCACAGCAGAACACTGAATTGTGATGAAATGATCAATGTTTCTCACCTTACCTGCAGTGGTTTTAATGTTTTGGCTGATATATGTAGGTAGTATTGTTGTATATATGTATTGATCAATACATGGGTGTTAGGCCCCACCCTTGGGTGGCCCTGTGGGGTGAACAAAACTCCATCACTGATCCAAAGTAACCACATAAACACCTTTAAAACACTCAGATCCATGAGATTTATTAACAACAAAAAAAGCAAAGCAGACAGCAAAGCTCCAGGCTGAGAGGCAGCAGGAGCAGCAGTCCCCACACCAGAGGCCTCTCCCCTCTGCTGCTCCTCTGCACAGGAGCTCCTAAACATCTCCTCCATGCCAGGTGCCAGCGCACCTTGTTAAGCAGTGCAGCACACCTGAGCAGATCTGCAAAGGAGGGAGAAGGGACAGCAGCACAGAACAGCTGTAACACTTAGTGTAGAAAGGTTTCTTTTTTCAGACAATGAGTTTTTAAGGAGATGTAGTTTTGCATTGTCTGAAAAAAGAAACCTTTCTACACTGAATCTAATCTGAGTAGACAAAATGAACCTATTTACACTAGCTGTAACACTGCGCAAAAAGATGCACACAACCGTGGTCTGACTCTGAGCTCTGAAGAAGAGACAAAGTGCAGTTTAGTCAGAGAATTTCACCAGGTGACTGCGCTCTGTAGAAGACCTGCAGCTGTCCGTGTACGAAACAAAAAGCAAGGCTGAAAGAACCCTTCAGTGAGCTTGTGTTTGAAGCCAGGACGTTGGACAGAACTCTGTTGCCTAAAACCTGTGGGGTTCTGTTTGAAAGCAACAATAACATTTACAGCTGCAGACTTTGTGCATTGTTGTAAAAACTCCTCATGTGGAGACAACAACAACAAAAGATGCCGTTTGTTGTTTTTTTTCTTGTAGAAAGCCATAAACAGATTTTACAGAATTTCATTTGAGGCTTTGTTTCTGCAGAAAAACACGAGGGTGTCTTTATAATTTGGACCAGATGTCGGCTCACAACACTTATGAAACAGCTGATCATTTACTGGACATGTTCAGCTCCTCACCCTTTATTTATGACGCCATATACGTAGTGACACAGTTGGTGCAGAGCTGCTGGCTTATTGGAAACCATTAAACTTTATCAGTGACTTTTTTTTTAAACGTTTCTATCAGCAGAATTGATGACTTATTAAAAAGTTAGAAACATAAGTCCATTGATCTTTATTAAAGAGGAGGAGAAATAACAGATAAAGAAATGTTTCACAACTGAGCAACCCAGATGTTGTTGTCATTGATGGATTCTTATTAGGGAGTTTTTTTGCAACCGATCCGAGTCATTAAATATTATCTGCTGATAAGTCCCACTCCAACACTTCTATATCTCTATGTCAGTGGTTCCCAGCTGATCGAGCCACAGGGTCCAGATTTCTCTTTAGTCATTAGTTTAAGGTCCACACAGTTGAATATATTTTTATATTTAATTTAAATATTGCTTTTAAAAAGTCGTGTGGAAACTGCTTTTCCTGATAATATGAATGTTTTCTTTGTGTGTGTCACAGCTCAGAAGACGGCCCTGATCGTGTACGCCCACCAGAGTCTGGGCTCCTTCAACTCGGCAGTACGTGATGTGGTGACGGAGGAGCTGGCGGCGCAGGGCTACAAGGTGCTCGTGTCTGACCTGTATGCCATGAACTTCAGAGCTAACGCCACGCAGGACGACATCATCGGTGACCTCACTGTTACGATTCTTTAAGCTAATGACCTTCATAGGTCCCATGTGATCCCCTCTGGATGTTTGGGCACAAACTGTTGATGGTGATAATCTGTAGTTTTCTTGTTGTCAACAAATCCTGTGAAAAGATCAAGAACACTGTCTGACTTTCTGTCTGTGGCTCACAGCTCCTTCTTAAGATGTGAATTAAAAACACAACTATGCATAGTTTAATTGTTAAAGTCTCAGAAATTTTCTTAAGTTGTTTTTATCAAACAAACAGGAGGACATAGTGACTTTGTTGGGGACTATTTTCAGCGGTGGATTAATCCACATCTGGTGCTACAGTGAGAATATGTGGCAGCAGGACGGTGTGTGTGGGACTGAGTCAAAATAAACTACAGTGTGTGTGTTAATGGTGATGAAGGAACAACAGGGAGAGGATACAGTTTGAGTTTTATTTGTTCTGACCATGTGTGTTGCGTTCAGGTGACCTGAAGAATCCAGAGTTGTTCCAGTATGGCGAGGAGACCATGCACGCCTGGATGGACGGCCGCCTCAGTGATGACATCGTAGCTGAGCAGCGCAAAGTGGAGGAGGCGGAGCTTGTCATCTTCCAGGTCAGAGGTCACACACATTGCTAGTTCCTGCTGTTTGTTTTTCATCCAGACATAAAAATCTGAGAGAGCTTTAACAACCAATCAAAATCATGTGTTCCTTATTCTTCCTGAAGGATAAGGCTGAAAGAAATGAAAAATAAAAAATATGTTTGCCTTTGTGTTTACGTTTTGGTGTAATACACCATCTGCCCACTGGGTGGCAGTGACCTGTAAAGGGTATGCAGTGATACATGAAGGGTAGTCTCGCTCACCAGACCTTTCTCAAGAAAAGAAAGGTCTGGCTGCGCCGACTCTCACTTTAAGATTGGAGAAAAAAAAACGCCACAGCTTTTTTTTATTTCTTTCAACCAATCACAATCGTTCTGGGCGGTGCCACAGCAACGGTGCCCGGGGGAAAACAGGTTTTGGTGTAACACGCCCACAAAAATATCGCCTACAGGACGCGAACCATGTCAGAAAAATGGCTACATCCCCGCAAGATCAAACACTGCAAACGTTAGTAAAGGACATATTTAAAACTTCAACTGGAGGTGGTAGGGCGGGACTTCAGCAGGTGGCTTGTTCCGCCCAATGAGAGGCTGATCTATGCAGCGAACTTCCGCCCACTCAGACTACATGAAGGGTGATGCAGTCTGTGGTGTTGCACACCAGTGGAAGCATACAGTCTTTTTCTAACTGTGGCCGTGGTGTCTGCAGGTGGCATTGCAGTAACAGAAATGTATCTAGGTTACCAAACTGTGGAACAAGAAACGCTGTAAATATTTGTTAGCAATAAATTAATTATCAAGTGAATCTGTGAATCTATTGACTAACAGGTCTGTATCTACAGCCTGAGATTTCCTCTTCACAGCTCAGTCACCAGGAGAAAGTGTTTGGATCAGTGGCGTAAGGTAGTTACGATGGGCCCCAGTGCACATTATGATGATGGGCCCCAGTGCACATTATGATGATGGGCCCCAGTGTGCCGTAGTTACTAGCTATGAAGCACAAAGACACACAGAGTTCTGGCTGTGTATACATATATATATATACATATATATATATATATATATCTACGTATATACGCGTGTGTGTTTACTGACGCTTTTATGTTATATCCACTTGCAGATGTGCCCAGCTCGTCAGCTCGTCAGTCTTGAGGGATTTTTCAGTTAAACTAGCTGCTGTAAATCATACCATCTTGTTACGTGATTAAACAGAGAACTGATATTGGACAGCGTTAGTTTACATATTACCCGGCATTCATCATTCCATATCTGTATATGTCAAAAACTACAAAGAAAAAAACGTATTAGTTTAACTAAATATTCTTTATAGTTGAATTATAGTTTTTTAAAGTTTATGTAGAATAAGTTTGTAGTTTGTTATAGATTGCTACTATGATATAAAAACAGAAAACCATGATGGTGATGGGTTTGCCCTTTTGAGGGTGTATTTAAAAAAATTGCATTTTTGGTTTAACTCGAATTCGTCTTTGAACATGGGCGTATTTCCAGGTGGCAATCAGGCCCCTCCACTCCAGGGGCCCCAGTGCAACTGCACCACCTGCACTGGGTGCGGTTACATGATGGCTTCTCATTCAGAATGAAATAAATCTGAATGAAATCATTTGGAATTAAAGTCTTTCCAGGTAGTTTACATGGGAAATATTCATTCCGAATGGGAGATCAGTTTAATCTCCTTTATTTGGGTCCACGCAAGGTTTGGGGCAGGGAAGGTTTCTGATTGGATAGGGGGCGGGGCAGATGTTACGTGTTTACGTTTACTGGAAGAAAACATTATAGTCCTCCCTCTGGATAACAAGATGTTTGACGACGCCGTTCTTAGTGCCTTTTTCAGGCTTGTTTTGCTTATATTCTTGAAGCAGCAGTACGACAACAACCTTGTTCTGCTAATGCTTCGTCTGTTGAGGAGGAGAAGGGAGGTAGAAGGTCGAAGAAGGGAGATAGAAGACCGTGCTGTGGCGAATGGAAACCGGTGAGTGCAACGAGTCCGACTGCTCTATCTCAGCCCGTTGCTATGCGCGCTGTATACGTCATGGCGCCAGAAGGGCAAGGAAACGAGCATGTGCAGAAAGACCGGAATGAACTTAAAGAGGAATGAGTGTATACATGCACACAAAATTCTTTCATTCGGAATGACAAACGGAATAAACCATCCCCTTTAATCAGATTTAATTTTCAGTCAGTACGACCGTTTACGTGACCACTTTTAATCGGAATGGCCTTTCATTCCAAATGAAAGTGGAATTAAACTGTCCATGTAAACGTACTTAGTGTCTATATTCACGCCCCCTGTTGGGATTGTATGTCTCTGCAAACCAGGAATATGTTACATTTCTATAATTCATATGTATCATATAAATATTTCCAGAGTGATGTACTTCAGATTATGCACACAGAGTATCATATGGTGTGTCACTTCAGTGAGACCCCTGCCAAGCTGCAGACCACTGTTTGAGACCAACAAACAACAAAAGTGGGAATTTTTTCAGAACATTCCCTGCCGTGTTTGTAACGTGTTTCCATATATCTATCTATCTATCAGTATCTGTGGTTTGTAGAAACATACGGAGTGAGCCACACTGTCACACAACACACACACTGTAGTTTATTTCGACTTGGTCACACACACACACACCGTCCTGCTGACTCAAATACTCACTACAGCACCAGATGTGGATTAATCCACTGCCAAAAATAGTCCCCAACAAAGTCACTATGTCCTCTTGTTTGTTTGATAAAAACGTCAGTCATAAAAAGTCATGAAATAATATGTACAGTATTTAATGTGTCTCCATATATATGAGTAAAACGAAGGACACAGACTCAACAGATTCAGTGTGTGATGTGTAAAATCAAAGACAAAAGAAAATTAGTAAAAGATGAATATGAGTGTGACTCGCTGCGTCTCTTCTTGCAGTTTCCTCTGTACTGGTTCAGTGTGCCGGCCATCATGAAGGGCTGGATGGACCGAGTGCTCACACAAGGCTTCGCTTTCTCCCTGGAGAAGATGTACAACTACGGTGTGTTCAAGGTCAGTCTCTCTCAGCTGGACAACACAGCTCTTTAGCCAACACACAGGATTATAATTAAATAAAGTACGCAGGATGATGAAGCAAAAGTCAGCTTTACATCGCTCCATTCATTTCTTCAAAGTAAAAAACCTGCAGTAATGTTTAGTTTTGAAGGAAATACAAGCAGTAAATATGTTTCATACATGAATATAAAAACAAATCAAGATGTACAAAATTCTGATGTCAAACAAACATTTATATGCAGTAAAGAAAAGATAAATAGTTTATCACAACACATTATGGTGTGTTTGTAAACAACAGATATCAGAACATGTTTATTGAGGTACAATATTTCCTACAGTTATAACTTCTCTTATGAAGAAACATTTAATATAATTACAGCTGTGTTTTACTGGATTATTATTCATCATGTTTATATATTAGTGTCCAGTGTCCTCATGCCGACAAGTCCAGTGTAGTTTTTTAATCCACAAAACTCGTAAGGGGTATTGGAGGATAACAGCTAGCCGGAATAACAGCTACACTTGAAGTGCACGGAACCCACATTTTGAAAATGTAATAAAACTCTACTAATGCATTTCAAAAACGTCAGAGCGTCTCGTTCGTCATAATCAAAGTCCAAGCCTAGCTGATGGCTAGTGGTGGTGCTAGTTCTCGAGTCTCGTGCGAGTTGCCATGTAAACACAGCACTGCTGCAGGGCAGGCTAACTGACCATGGTGAGAAATGATGCTATAAAAGTGGAATAAATTATGTCTTTTCAAGTCAGTTTTGCATGCTGCGGCTTCAGGGCACTTGGATTATGATGGACGAGCCGCTCTGACGTTTTTAAAATGCATTAGCGGATTTTTATTACTATTATTATTTTCAAAATGTGGGTTCCATGCACTTCAAGTGTAGCTGTTATTCCGGCTAGCTGTTATCCTCCGATACCCCGAATGAGTTTTGTGGATTAAAAACTACACTGGACTTCTTGCCGGCATGAGGGTCAGTAAGTACTGTCTGTATTTTCATTCTAAAGTGGCCATTTCCTTTAAGCCAAAACTTGATTCTTTCCAAACCAAAGCTAAGGGGTTTTTGTACCTCAACATAACTACACATTAACCACAGCAAAATGTAAAGTTTCAACTTTTCTGCTACATGATGATGTCCAAATGTGATGTATTTGTTCTTTGAGAAACGTACAATCAAAACATTTGCTCTGGCGATTGGGTTGTTCTGGCCTTTTGCCATCAGGGCCCCGAGGCCCTCGAATCCTCTGCCTGAGAAGAGTCATAGCCTCGCCAGGATATTAAAGGAAGGATTTTTAAATGCCTTTTTATGTGGTGTTATTTCTTTTTGTTTCGTTTGCCTTTCTGTGCACTATTTTGCATCGTTCTTAAGATTGTTTTTTTTATTTTATTTTCATTTAATTTATTTTTTATTTTTACTCTATTTTATTGTTTAATTCTCATATGCATGTGGTGAAGCACAAATTAAATTATTATTATTTTTGTCTTTATATTTTCTTACAGCTACATCACAGTGAGTTATAAATTGTTTCTTCTCTTCATGATGGATAATACATTTCTTTTTGTGTGTCCTTGAAGGATAAGAAAGCGATGTTGTCTTTCACCACTGGAGCGACACAGACGATGTTCCATCCTGACGGGATCAATGGAGACATCAACATTACACTGTGGCCTCTACAGGTCAGACACACACACCTGCACACACACACTCTTGAAAAAAAATATCCACTGTTTTAACTTAACGTAACAATTTGCATCCACCTTTTTAAGGAGTTCCAACTCTGGAATTATTGAGCCAGTCCTATGAGTCTTTGATAATCTGACAAACTCAGTTAGGGCAGATCAACCATGATCACTTGACCTTGAGAAAAAAAATTAAGTTGAATCAACCTGATAATTATCCGAACGTTGTGATGATATTTATTGGGCAAATTATTTTTTTAAGATATTCAAACGTATTGATTTTATTTCCATCCTACTCAGAAATGTCAAAATGTTTTGATTTTGATCAGCTTCTTAAAATAAGTTGTCAACTGATTAAAACATGTTGATGAAACAAACTTCTTAGTTTCAAGTGTTCTCCACTGACCCCATGAGTCATTTTTAGAGTGTACGTGCACTCACACAATTAAGAGGAGGTCATTTTCTGCCTGTCCTTGTACAGTGTTGTGAACTCGTCTCTCTTCATCTCTTGTGTCTTTCAGAATGGCACTCTGCACTTCTGTGGGTTTCAGGTTCTTGCTCCTCAGATATTCTGGAGTCCAGCTCACTGCCCCCCCGCCGTGCGAAAAATGATGCTGGATGGGTGGCGAGCCCGACTTAAAGGACTGTTGGCAGAAAAGCCTTTGACCTTTGCCCCCTGCGAGCTCTTTGACCTCAGCTTCCAGGGGGGGTTCAAGCTGTGGCCCAAAGTGAAGGAGGAGCAAGAGTCACAGCCGTACGGCATCACCACAGGACACCACTTGGGGAAACCGCTGCCGCCTGACAACCAGATCACAGCTCCACCTGACAACCACATCACAGCTCCGCCCAGTGATCAAAGTAGCGCCAGTCCGGCCTGCAGGAAATAGAACCTCTCTGTTCTCATTTTTGATACCAACGTATGGATTTTATAAAGGCTGTGTGTTTACTGAAGCTGAAATAAAACAATTTCAATAACAATGACTTCAACTTATTTCTATTAAATGAAAAAAAGTTCTCATTTGCATTCACACCACCCAGCCCTGTGATAGTCTGGTGACCTGTCCAAGGTGTACCCCACCTTTCGCCCAATGTCAGTTGGGATAGGCTCCAGCACACTGCCCCCCCCCCTCGCCCAACTACAACTGGGAAGTATTGGCTGGAAAACACAAAGGGTCTGTATCATGAAGGCTCACATAGTCTAAATTCAAAGTAGAAAACAATATCACAGAAAATAATCATTTTCCTCAATTTTCCCAAGATTGTGTCCAGGAGGAGGTCTTTGAAAAAGAGAGGGTTAAATAATGTACTGAATGTGTGAAAATGAGTGAAAACCTACCAACACAGACAAAAGAGTCTATTTAGGTTCTATTTTATGTATTCATTTCTTTATTTACTTGTTTGTTTGAGAAGGACAAATGCATAAGCCACTGCTTCATATGTAAAATATGAATGCGTATATGCACGCACATGTGTTTATATGTGCGACCACTGATTGTGGCCTGCACAGTGTGAACAGGCTTGCATATCATCATCATCATCATCAAAAAACACCTTAGGAGGGCCACGGATGGGCTGTTAATTCCTTAAAGTATGGAGCCATGTGTAAGATTTAGGGCAGGGGTAGGCAACCTGTGGCTCCGGAGCCACATGTGGCTCTTTAGCCCCTGTCCAGTGGCTCCTTGAGCCTTTGAGAAAAGAATTCTATGGAAATTCATTCTATGAATCCAAATGTTGCTGAACCTCGATAGCAGTGGCTGGTTAGCTATGGATGCCAAATCCAAAAAAGTGAATTGAATAAAATAGAGAATGTAGTAGTGTGTGGACAGATTTGTTTGCTCTCACTGCCAGCTCTGCAAAATTTAAGTACCAAATAATCATAAATAGTGCCCTGCACAGTGTCCACCTTGTGGTAAAACATATTAACAAATGCTTATTTAGACCATAAGTATACGCTAATTTAGACTTAATGGGCTATTTACCTTGATTATAAGGCTCAAACATGTTTTGCAGCTCCACACAGATTTTTTCAAATTATTCTTGGTCAAAAATGGCTCTTTTAATGGCAAAGGTTGCAGACCCCTGATTTAGGGGATTTAGTGTCATCTAGTGGTGAGGATTGTATATTACAACCAGCTAAAACTGCTCCTGGTTAGAAAACATACCCTCCAAGGCATGTTTTGGGAATGTTTCATGCCTTAAGAGGCATGTTTTCTCTAAAAAAATCAGCAATGAAATAAATACAAAATACAACCATTTAAATTTGTATGCCCCCCTTAAACCAAAATACAAAACCTAATTTCTTCCCCAGTGGTTAAATAATATTTGACATGCCTCCCCCCTTTTTGCACCACTCCCTAAGTAATGAACAGTCCCTAAATGTATTTATTTACTTTGCACCACTGGTTTGGGGGGATTTTATGTTAAACAAAACAAACAATTGAAGCAGTAACCTCAGCCTCTGGGGTTTTATGATTGACATTTTTCCCCTATTACCTTATATTTTCAATGATTAAAAAACCCAGATTAATCGATAGTGACAGTATTGATCCTGAAGCCTACAGAGGCAGGATATGGGTATGTTTATGTTCTTCACAGTGGGTATGACCAAACCTAACAGGGAGCTATGTTAAAAGGACGCCATAGGAAATGCAGATATGATGTAAAAGTTGGGTTCTAAACAATAAACGCCAACGTGCTTTAAAGGGAAGAAATTAACCTATTTAATTTTTTTCATTTAAATGTGAAAAAGTCCGAGCGTCCCGTTTCCGTCCCCGTCGCTCCCCCCCTCCTGTGTGCTGCGGAATGGAAGAGTCCGGGTGTGACGTCACCGCCGGGGCTGATAGTGAAGAGCAGATTGTTGTTTGTTGTTTGGAGCTGAGCTGTGTGACCGTTACACGGTAACTGAGAGAGCCACGGTTTAAAAGGACAACTTACAAGAACATATATATATTTTTAACCCTGTGTATTAAACCCTGAGTCGAGTTTAATCTGCTGCATCGAGCGACAAAGAGCCCGGAAACATGAAATGGATGTTCAAAGAGGATCACTCGTTGGGTAAGGGAGGAGGGAGGAGCTGCTATTTCTGATGGATATCAAAAATGTCCACGCAGTTTCATTTTCTCAAGTGAAACCGTTTATTTGGCCTCATGGGGAAATAAATTAGGGTTTAATGTTTGGTCAAAGCGTTGTTAAAGCCCGTCGGGCTCTCACAGTGGCCTGTCCTTCAGGCTTTTGTCTAAAGGAGGAGGCTCTGTAAGCTAGTTAGCTGTGCCGACACACATTAAATATAACCGATAACATTAATGTCACTTCATGTAAAAGTCTGTTTCCATGTCTCCACTTTGAATCAGAAGTGTTGGCTCCATGCAGGTGAACAAAGCATCGTGTCTTTGTTCCTATTTCAGCCGCGACGACGACCTGGTTTCAGGCTGATGGTGGATATTAACACGGAGGAAACACATTAAGCTGCTAAAGCCTCCGTTTAGTTACACTGAGCAGCTGGGGATTAAAACTGGGATGTTTTATATACATAAATATTATATTTATCCTTTTTGTCCACTTGGTATAAACTGGAGGCCTGACAGGCGTCACCAGGACGGGACTAAAGTTGTTTTGGCAGAACAGTTTCAGGCCTGCAGGCTGGTTTACATCCAATAATTTTATCTTTTATGTAATCAGTTCAGTTGTTTGTCAATAAATCCACAGATTTTATACACAAAAATAAGTGGTTTGAGAAGTTAACAGAAGTTGAAATGATTCCTTTAATCAGCTTACTTTGTTAAAAGGAGTGTTGGAACTAAAAGTTATTCATGATAACATATATGAGACACAGGACACAGTTATTTATCTGAAAACAAAACATATCTGGTATTTAAATGATCCAAAATTCATAATCAATATCTACTTCCTGTTGACAGGCCAGCTGATCTGATGCCAGTGTCAATCAGACTTTAAAAAGAGGCTCCAGTGCTGTTATGAGCTCCGTTTTGTTGCTGTTGAGAAATAATATTGAGACATAAAGATCTTTAAGTGCTTTGAAATGTTAAATCTAAAAAACTAAAGAGAACATGGCAGCTGGCATCTCTCCAGCATATTGTTATTGTTGGTGTCAGTGTTGAGACTACGTTACCCATAAATCCCTCTGCTCCTGTGAAAAGGAGGATGTTCTTTATCCAGATATCCAGTTTCATATTGCGCACTAACTGTGTAAGGTATGTGCCACCACAAGGCTGCAGCTCAGGATTATTTTTAGTATTGATCAGACAGTTGATTAGTTTTTAATTAATAAAATTATAATTAAATGAAGTTAGTAAAAAGAAAGACAGTAAATATGGTGTTTTGGTGGGTAATCAAGAAACATAGGGAGAGAAAATAAAAGATAAAAAAGCAGGTACTGTAAAAGTTAAGTATTATAACTGACAATAAAATTATGAACAAACATTAAGGTGACATCTTCAAATGTATTTTGTTTTTTTAATTCAACCAACAGCCCAAAAAATTATAATCCTCAAATTATATATATATTTATTTAGCTATTAGGCAGTCCTTTATTCATTTAATCATTTAGTATATACATTTAGGTTTTCTGTTATTTTATTTGTTTTTTTTATGTTTGGTTTCAGAGGTGTTGTCAGAGCTTGTCTTTTAGTCGTCCTGCTCTTTGGTTAAGACTAACGTGTAATCCTGATTATTGGAGCCGAAAATTCAGAGGAGTTAAGAGGGATTTATTTTGTGTCATGATAATACCTGTTACAGGTAACCAGAGCTGAAGACAGACAGATAGCTGTCACAACAACAGAGCATGTTGTGATTCAGTCATGCTCTGTTGCTGTGAGAGTTATCTCTCTCTCTCTAATTAAGTGCAAAAACAGACATCAAACACAAGTACCAACATAAAAATAAAAGAATTATGTCATTTTAAGTGTGCACAATTTGGAGTTAGGTCCGCAAAGAAATGAAGTTATAAATTAAAAGGATGTATTGCACTGTGTGGGAGGTTACAGAAAATATAATTATAAGTCCACTTAGGGACTCTTCAAAATCAGTTACTTTGATCAGCAGCAAAAACACCCTGTGTTTTACAGTAAATATAATTTTAATTTATGCAGCCTTTTCATTCATAATTCTGATTAAAAAAAGAAATGAAGGAAATACAGAAAATAGATTTCTATATGATTATTAATTGGCGATGAGTCACTTTCTTTTGAGCAAATAATAACCAGATAATTTTACAGTAAATAATCGTTAAATGTGTTTCAGCAGGATTCCAGTCAGAGAGGCTGCCAGTTTGATAGTTACACGAAGAGTTAATGCGGAGATGTTTTATTGATGATGCACTTTCACCTTCTGAGTGTCTGGATTGATTCGTTCTTGTGGTCTCAGTGCGTCTAAATCCGCTGCAGCTGCCTGTGAATGTCTCACCTCAGCTGTTAAATATTGATCCGTCTCCATCACTGGTTTATCTCTATTGAAGGAAGAGGAGGTTCATCCTCAGAGATGTGTGTTTCTGTTGCAGTGCAAAATATTCACATGATTAAATATCAGTGTTGCTTTTTGTCCACCAGAACATCGATGCATAGAGTCAGCCAAAATCCGCAACAAGTACCCTGACAGGGTCCCGGTGAGTGAAACCTCTGTGACCTCACAGCTGATTCACAGCAGCGTGCCCGTCACTGTATTGATCTGTAATCAATGCGCGTGCGTGTGTGTGTGTGTGTGTGTGTGTGTGTGTGTGTGTGTGTGTGTTAATCCTCAGGTGATTGTGGAGAAAGTGTCTGGATCACAGATAGTGGACATCGACAAGAGGAAGTACCTGGTGCCCTCTGACATCACAGTGGCTCAGTTCATGTGGATCATCAGGAAACGCATCCAGCTGCCCTCAGAGAAGGCCATCTTCCTGTTCGTGGACAAGACGGTGCCTCAGTCCAGGTCAGGGCCGGAGTAATTATTAAAGAATGTTATAGGTAGTTTTTGCAGTA